TCTTGTGTTCTTATGTTCTTAAACCCAAAATGGTGTCCCTGTGAAGAGAAAATCCAACCCAGTTCAGTGAGAGTTTTCAGTCGTACAATGGTATCACAGAGCACTGCAACCTACACCGAGGATGTTCGATCGGCTTTTAAATGCTCAAAGCCCTACAAGCGCCTGGGTATCAAACTCTGCCACTTCACCAGGCGCGGTGAAGTAATATTCTGTTGTGAAGTGTGTCGAGCTTGGGTATGGACTCCTATCCCAGCCAGTCATTCTTTGGAGCCTCTCCTGGACAAAGCTGACCAAAGGCCTATGTATTTATTTATTTTTAATTAGAACCCGCTTTCCTCCCTCAAAGTGGCTTTTCACACCGTTCCCCTTTCATCCGCTTCATCCCGACGACGACAACCATGTGAGGGTAGGTCAGAGTAAGAGACCGACAGGCCCAAAGTCTTCTGGAGGGCTTCCATGACTGAGCGAGGGATTCACCTCAGGTCCTTGTCTGGCACTCTAACCTCCATGCCACATCTCCAACGGCCTCACACGCAAACCACCTTGTTGAGTTTCCCTACTGAGGGAGCTGCGGTGGCTCAAGTGGTTAAGACGCTGAACTGCAGGCTGTGGAAGGTCAGTAGTTCAGCAGTTCGAGACCCGGGTGCCGCATGACGGAGTGAGCTCCCGTCTCTAGTTCCAGCTCCTGCCAACCTAGCAGTTCGAAAGCAAGAAATTGCAAGTAGATAAATAGGTACCACTTCGGTGGGAAGGTAACAGCGTTCCGTGCTTCGGACAGCGCTGGCTCTTCAGCTTTGAAACGGAGATGAGCACCGCAACCCTAGAGTCGGACTCGACTGGCTTTTGAGCAAGGGAGACCTTTACCTTTACCTTACACTGACAGAAGAACGTCGATTCCATAGACAATCGCTGTTTCTCTGGTGATGTGAGGGAATGATGATGTCTACAGCTGACACGCTAAACCGGTGAACGCTTGTTCACCCGTGGAACTCGTGAAACGCACCGTCTCTGTAACATCAAAGGATGTCTCCCAGGTTGCTCCGACCTGGATAGCCCAAGTAAGCCTGATCTCATCAGATCTCGGAAGGTAAGCAGCGTCGACCTGGGCAACTATTTGGATGGGAGACCTCCTTGGAATACCAGAGGCGGGAGGTGGGGGCAGGCTATCAAGCCCCTTCTCTGAACATCCTCCTTGCCCCAGTAGGAGTCGCCAGAGGTCGCCATGACTTACAGGCACACGCACACATACACACATGCAAAAAATACCCCATCCCCAAAAGGATATGTCCCAGGGCATAGCTAAACTAACAAGTTATATCCATCTTAGATTATTTTATACATTTGTATAAAAATTTGCGGTGGCTCAAGTGGTTAAGACGCTGAACTGCAGGCTGTGGAAGGTCAGTAGTTCAGCAGTCCGAGACCCGGGTGCCGCATGACGGAGTGAGCTCCCGTCTCTAGTTCCAGCTCCTGCCAACCTAGCAGTTCGAAAGCAAGAAATTGCAAGTAGATAAATAGGTGCCACTTCGGTGGGAAGGTAACAGCGTTCCGTGCCCCTTGGTGTTTAGTCATGCCAGCCACATGACCACGGAAACGTCTTCGGACAGTGCTGGCTCTTCAGCTTTGAAATGGAGATGAGCACCGCAACCCTAGTCGGATTCGACTGGCTTTCGAGCAAGGGAACCTTTACCTTTACCTTTATCTCCCCCTTTCCTCTAAGAAGAAGACAATGACGAGATTGGATTTATACCCCGCCCTTCACTACCCGAAAGAGTCTCAGAGTGGCTTACAGTCTCCTCCCCCTTCCCTATGACAGACACCCTGTGAGGTGGGTGGGGCTGAGAGAGCTCTTGACAGAAACTGCCCTTGAGGGAACAGCTCTGAGAGAACTTGTGACTGACCCAAGGTCACACCAGCCGCTGCATGTGGAGGGGTGGGGAATCAAACCTGGTTCCCCCAGATTAGAGTCCGCGCTCCTAACCGCTAAACCAAACTGGCTCTTAGGGCGGCAGACGTTCTCTTCACCATTTATCCTCACTACAGCCCTGCAAGGTCGAATAGGCTGAAAGGGAGCGAGTGGCCGGGAAACAGCTTTTGCATAGACCAGCAGAACGCCCAGCAATATGACAGGCGGTGCATGAGTAGAGGGAAGAACATGTGCAAAATGATGACCAATGGCGATGCATGGTATTCTAGCACATCCTGCGCACCAAACGCTCACTGCGCAGGCCACACGAGACCCCACTGTCGCTCCAGTCTCTAACCCCTCCCTCTCAAATTCATTGACCTAGCTGCTTCAGCATGTTCCATGCACATTCCAGGGACTCCTGGGGCAGACGGAATCATGCTCGGCTCTTCTGGGCACACGCGGGTACATGCGTAAACCTGCCACCCAAGAGGACAGACAAAACAGAGCCCGTTCCTGAATAGTTCCTCTGGAACCCTAAAAAGCTCTGGATCACAGTCCTTGGTCTAATCCAGCAGGGCTCTTCTTATGTTCTTAATCAGCTGCTTACAGGCTAGGGGCCAATCTAATGCAGAAGCTACTTTCTCTTCTGCAGGTGTCCCTGAGACTGTGGAACTCCCTGCCCAGGAGAATTCACCTTCCTCCATGCCCAACAGCATTTTACCATCCAACTGAAGCTGGGCTTTCATTCATTTTTCTAGCTTTTAGTGAGTTTTTAAAATGAGTTTCCCCAGTTTAATGAGTTCTCCATCCTTAACCGGTCGCCACCTGCCCCTGCGTGTCTACTGGCATTAGTTTGCCAGTCTGCCTTGCCATTTTACTCTGCATTATTTTGTTGCGTGGCAGTCTTGGACGTCTCCACCTGCTCCAATCCGTTTCCGTTCGGCCGTGGTCACCCCAGGTCCCCAAAGCAGCTGATTCAAAAGGCAGATGGATTCTAGGTAGTTTAATCAACGAAATTTCCAAAAATGGATCTGTTCCACTTGGGAGTGACCGTTTGCGGAAGTTTTGCAGAAGGAAACCCCCCCCCCCCCCAATTTTCATCTCCAACCAGTAAGTTCGACACGTGTGAACATCTACGGCCCACCCGCTCGCCAGCCCCAACAAAGAATTTCACAGTTTATTAAGTCTTCCATCACAGCTACGGAAAAAGATCTGGGCACCTGAGTGATAGCGAAACGACACAGGACAATGACCAGAAGTCCTGACATGGTATTTGGCTCTAAAAAACACCCGGGGGTGGGAGATCCGGACAGGGACCACAGCACTGGGCAGGCGGTAACTTTTCCTCTTAGGTGGTTTCCCATATTGGAAATGCTCCCCCCCCCCAAGCTACTTGGGAACAAATAAAAAGACAGGTACTTCTTTTGTGTTTCTCGCTTTTCCCACCCCACCAAAGCTGAGAGCAACCTAAAGGCGGAATTTTTAACCAGGGAAACAGCCAGAGGTCATTTCGGGGGGGATCGCAGGGGAACGCAGTTCCCCCGGGTGAGGTACGGGAGGGCGGGGCACATGACGAAGCCCTGCCCCCTGCTTCCGGCCGCCCCGCTTCTGGCCCTCATTCAGCCAGGAGGAGGCAGGAGAAGAGGGAGGATAAGTTGCTTCCTCCCCGCCTCTCCCCACCCCTGCCTGCCTGGGGCCAGGGAGGGCCTTTGCGGGGCTTCCTTGCACTCCCGCCAGCCTTGCAGGTCCACCGCCGGGCCCCTCATGGGGCTCGGCAGTGGAGCTGCCGTTGGGGGCGGGGTGTGTGGCCTTATGACACACTTCCGGTGATGTCAGGGTGTGTGGCCTTATGACACACTTCCGGTGATGTCAAGGGGTGTGGCATATGCTAATGAGTTCCCCTAGCTCTTTTTCTACGAAATGACCCCTGGAAACAGCACACAGAGGAGTCGAATTACATTACCCCCTTTTGCCAGCACCATGGCACCAATCCAGCTAGCTTCCCGGTTGCCCTCTATTCACCAAGCACAGATCTGGAACTCCAGCCCCAGAACACTAACGATATATGCAGTTTGGCCCTAAGATGAATTGATTTCTACCTACTTCTGGGGGGGAAAGACACGTCTCCCTCGCTATCGCCCTACAGAGAACCCAGCAAGCAAATCTGGCCTGCGTTAGAACGTCCTGTAAAGAAAGCGGAGTTGAAAAACCCACGCCTGGCTAAAGACCTTTTGAGTCCTACAGGACACCGTCGCTTTCCGCCATCTTCGTTTCCCCGAACGTTACATAACGACGATGCTCAGACACGAAACAACTTCTGACAGCCATCTGGAACGAGTGAACTCAGACGGAACGTTTGTGTATAAAAAAATACGATACTGCTTTTTTTTTTTTTTTTTAAGAGAACCATCTTTTTGTGCTGACAACCAAAGTCTGAAGGACAAAACGTACCCAGAGTCACGACTGAAACGCCAGTATTGCTGGATGCCACCCCAGCCGAGCAGGAACCTGCTCCGACGGTGCAGAAAACTTTGAGGGGTGTGTGGCCTTATGACACACTTCCGGTGATGTCAAGGGGTGTGGCATATGCTAATGAGTTCCCCTAGCTCTTTTTCTACGAAATGACCCCTGGAAACAGCACACAGAGGAGTCGAATTACATTACCCCCTTTTGCCAGCACCATGGCACCAATCCAGCTAGCTTCCCGGTTGCCCTCTATTCACCAAGCACAGATCTGGAACTCCAGCCCCAGAACACTAACGATATATGCAGTTTGGCCCTAAGATGAATTGATTTCTACCTACTTCTGGGGGGAAAGACACGTTTCCCTCGCTATCGGCCTACAGAGTACCCAGCAAGCAAAGCTGGCCTGCGTTAGAACGTCCTTTAAAGAAGCGGAGTTGAAAAACCCACGCCTGGCTAAAGACCTTTTGAGTCCTACAGGACACCGTCGCTTTCCGCCATCTTCGTTTCCCCGAACGTTACATAACGACGATGCTCAGACACGAAACAACTTCTGACAGCCATCTGGAACGAGTGAACTCAGACGGAACGTTTGTGTATAAAAAAATACGATACTGCTTTTTTTTTTTTTTTGTTAAGAGAACCATCTCTTTGTGCTGACAACCAAAGTCTGAAGGACAAAACGTACCCAGAGTCACGACTGAAACGCCAGTATTGCTGGATGCCACCCCAGCCGAGCAGGAACCTGCTCCGACGGTGCAGAAAACTTTGAGAAGGTTGCTTCAAACCCCAGAGTGTCCCGTTTACATCCGATCTGGGGTCCTGCCTTCCGCTTCAGAGCCTCTCTCACCAAATTCGAGAGGCTGGTAACTCTCTGAAGCCAGTTACGAAAATGCTAAGCAATCGGATGTCAGCCAGATAGAGACACGGTGGTCTCTCCTATTTAAGATGCCTTTCCATCTACGGTCTGGGTGTGGAGGGAAGCTGGCTGACAGAACAGCTCGTTTCAGGATGGATGAAGAGGCGCCATACGTTTGACGGATGTGGATGCTGCAGGTCTTTGTGCCAGCGGTGGAACAGGCTTCCCTGTGGAAAGCGATGAGCATCCCATCTGTTTACCGAGTCAGAGCTCCAACCTATAGTTGAAGAACAGATGAGAAAGGTCTATGGCAGGCAGACATCCTTAGGCAGCTCTCCCAGGGCAAGGATCTGTTCCAAAGCTGTTTAGAAACAAGGAGACCGTTATCTTATTTGGCAAATCAAACAGGGCTCTGACCAAGCAACCCGGGGACCTCCCCCGTCCGATTGACGGAAGGGAAAACAGAGCTTCCAGATTTTGTCCAGAGATGTCCACCCCACGGCCTGGCCTCAGGAAATCTTCAAGCCCCCACTGGGCTTAAAGGATTAAAAAGGATATTATAGCTTTGGAAAAAGTGCAGAAAAGGGAAACTCGAATGATAAAAGCGTTGGAACACCTTCCCTATGAGGAAAGGTTAAGGCGCTTAGGGCTCTTTAGCTTGGAGAAACGACGACTGAGGGGTGACATGATTGAGGTTTATAAGATTATGCATGGGATACAGCAGGCAGAGAAAGAGGTACTTTTCTCCCTTTCTCACGATACAAGAACTCGTGGGCACTCCATGAAATTGCTGAGCGGTCGGGTTAGAACGGATAAGAGGAAGTACTTCTTCACCCAAAGAGTGATTCACACATGGAATTCACTGCCACAGGAAGTGGTGGCGGCTACAAGCATGGACGGCTCCAAAAGGGAATTAGATAAGCATAGGTATAGATAGGGACTCTGGGGCAAGTGATGTAGGGGCTCTGGGGCTTGGGGGGGGGGTCAACAGTGGGAGGGCTTCTAATGTCCTGGCCCCACTGGTGGACCTCCTGATGGCATTGGTATTTCTGGCCACTGTGTGATACACAGTGTTGGACTGGATGGGCCTTTGGCCTGATCCAACATTGGCATCTCTTATGTTCTTATGAACCTGAAGGCAATGATTTCCATACTTGGGGAGGCTTGCGGCTGGCTGGAAAAGCCTCTGCTTGACATGCAGAAGGTCCCAGGTTCAATCCCCGGCATCTCCAGTTAAAGAGGACTGGGTAGGAGGTGATGTGGAAGACCTCAGCCTGAGACCCTGGAGAGCCACGGCCAAGTCTGAATAGACAAGACTGCTTTTGATGAACCAAGAGCCTGGTTTGGCACAAGGCAGCTTCATGTGTACAAACTTCCTAGAACTCTGGTCTCTCTTCAGCCATTCTTTATATGCCAAGCCAGAGCCCCACGCAACCAATAAAGAAATGAGGAGGCTGCCTGGATGTTGATCTGGGGTCCTCGCTCCCCCTGCCTCATTTCCACAGGATCGACACGGCTTCCTCCCCATGTAGCCAACTGCCGCAGTTGTCAACAGCCCCTCTCCTTGGGGAGATGACAAATGAGAGCTCCCTCCACTTATCAAGAATGGGGATGTCACCCTGACCTGGGGAGCTCAAGGAAGCCCGATCTCGTCAGATCTCGGAAGCTAAGCAGGGTCGACTCTGGCAAGGACTTGGACGGGAGACCTCCTTGGAATACCAGAGGCTGAGAGGCGGGGGTAGGCCTTAGTCAGCCACCTCTCTGAATATCCTCCAGGCCCTCAGTAGGGGTCAGTCACCAGAGGTCGCCATGACTTCCGGGTGCACGCTCACTCAGACGCATGCACATACACATATTTAAAAACAGAATGGAGATGTTCTCCCCTGGTGGTTCCTTACTGCACCAAAGGAAGCCAACACATAAACCCCAAGAGTCACATGAGACTGCCTTATATCAAATCAGACCCTTGGTCCATGGAAGTCAGCAGGGGTCATTTCGGAGAAAAAGAGGTGCAGGAGCTCATTAGCATAACACATTGGCATAACTTATTTGCATATGCCACACCCCCTGACATCACCAGAAGTGTGTCAGAAGGCAACACCCACCGCTCAGGCTCCACTGGACTGTTTTGGATTGCTAGCTATTGGGAGGGGGGGAACGTGCAGATCTGTCCTCACAGAGGAGGGAGAGCTTGTACCTGAATAAAACCTTGTCTTAAAGGTGCCCCTGGACTGTTTTGGGCCGGGGAGCCGGGGGGGGGGGGGGCTCTGCACCTTCCCTGGCTGTTTTTTGCTCTGACTGAGGGCTGCTGGGAGCAGGGGGTGGGGCTTGTTGCATGTGCCCGCCCCCTGGGCTCTTTACTGCTGGAGCTCCGCTCCTGTGCGCTCCTGCAGGAAATGACCCCTGGAAGTCAGTATGGTCTACTCGGACTGCCAGATGCTCTCCAGGGTCTCAGGCAGGAGTCTTTCAAATTCTCTCCTACCCGATCCTTAACTGGAGATGGCAGGGATCGAACCTGGGACCTTCTGTATACTAAACGGAGGCTCTACCGCTGAGCCACAGCCCCTCCCCTAAAGGTAATGTCACACAAAGCTGCCTTATACTGAATCAGACCATCGGTCCATATGATCCAGGTCAGTATTGTCTACTCGGACTGGCAGCGGCTCTCCAGGGTCTCAGGCTGAGGTCTTTCGCATCGCCTACTGCCTGGTCCTTTTAACTGGAGATGCCGGGGATCAAACCTGGGACCTTCTACATGTCAAGGAGATGCTCCACCACTGAGCCACAACGTCGGGTCCACGTGCAAGAGCAGCCACTCTGTGAATGAGGAGATACAGAGAACACTGATGGAGCTTTAGATACAGTCTGAGAATGTGAAGCTGCTTTCTATGGAGACAGACCCGGGAGCTATCGAGAACAGTCTTGTCCGTTCTGACCATCAGCAGCTCGGCAGGGTCTCCGGATGAGCTCTTCTCAGCACCTGCTATGCCCTCCTCATTTTGACTGGAGGTGCCAGGGACCGCAACCGGGGACTTCTGCAATGCACATTTGGCTGTAAGATCGGCAAGAGACTCTAAAGGGCTTGATGGTGGGCCAAAGTGAAACAACCCCATGGGGAAGTCTTGTGCATGAAAGCACAGAATGACGGGGATGTTCTCTCTGTGGCATCGCACCCCGTGGCTGCTCACCGGAGTTGTCAGGGGATGGTGCAGTTATCACCCAAGAACCAGCCCCAGTAGCATCTACGGTCTTAGTCGTTCGTTTTTTTAAAAAGACAGGGTCCTTTATTTTAAAAACTGTCCAATTAACGCAGAAGGGTTTTGTAAAAAAATTGATCGGTTGTTCCAAACCATTTCGTCGAAGCTTAACAGTGAAACCCTACACGTGTTTACTCAGAGGCAAGTCCCACCCAGTTCAATGGGCCTGGCTCTCCAGAAAACATGCAGAATGTAATATGAGAACTGGCGGGCACTCAATGAAATTGCTGAGCAGTCGGGTTAGAATGGATAAAAGGAAGTCCTTCTTCACCCAAAGAGTGATTAACACATGGAATTAATTCACTGCCAGAGGAGGTGGCCGCGGCTACAAGCTTGGATGGCTTCAAGAGGGAATTGGATAAACGTATGGAGCAGAGGTCCATCGGTGGCTATTAGCCACAAGGTACAGATGGGAACTCTGGGGCAAGGGATGCTCTGTGACTTCTTGGTGCTTGAGGGGGGGGCAACAGTGGGAGGGCTCCTAGTGTGCTAGCCCCACTGCTGGACCTCCTGATGGCCCCTGGTATTTTTGGCCACTGTGTGACAGAATGTTGGACTGGACGGGCCTTTGGCCTGATCCAACATTAGCTTCTCTTATGTTCTTATGGATAAGCATACGAAGCAGAGGAGAGGTCCATCAGTGGCTATTAGCCACAAGGTAAAGACAGGGTGAGCTCCTGTCTCTAGTTCCAGCTCCTGCCAACCTAGCAGTTCAAAAGCAAGAAATTGCAAGTAGATAAATAGGTACCCCTTCGGTGGGAAGGTCACAGCGTTCCGTGCGCCTTGGTGTTTAGTCATGCTGGCCACATGACCACGGAAACGTCTTCGGACAGCGCTGGCTCTTCGGCTTTGAAACGGAGATGAGCACCGCAACCCTAGAGTCGGATTTGACTGGCTTTCGAGCAAGGGAACCTTTACCTTTACTTTTAAAGATAGGGAGTCTGGGGCAAGGGATGCTCTGTCTTCTTGGTGCTTGGGGGGGGGCGGCAACAGTGGGAGGGGTTCTGGTGCCTGCTGGACCTCCTGATGGCACCAGGTATTTTTGGCCATTCTCTGACAGAGTGTTGGACTGGATGGGGCATTGGCCTGATCCAACATTGGCTTCTCTTATGTTCAGAATGGCCCAGCCTAAACCTTGCAGCCTTATTTCGAGAACCGATCTCATGGGCTTTTAATCAGCGATGAGCGCAGCTGCTTTCTACTGGGCTTAGGATCAAGTAAGCTTGCACCGGATCCTGCACGTGGAAGCTCCACCTGGGCACTCAGTACAATTTGTGCTTCCTGGGACCAAAGCCCAGCTGAACTCAGGAGGCTTACTCTCTGGTAGCCTGCACCTGTTTGCTACTACAAAACTCCTAGAGGGGTGGGGGGGGGCGCTTGCTGGGATCCAGTGAGGTTTACTCTAAAGCAAAGGGGGATCCGACCACAAGCCTTACTGCTCGACCCTACGGAAGGAAGGAGCTGGCCATCCTGGCCACGCTTACCTGGGAGTAAAAATCCCCAGCGGGGCTTGCCTTCTGAGTCACCACGCCTCCCCAGGCGGCATCCCCGCAGGTCTTGCCCCGGCGCCGGGCGCCTCCGTCGGCCCTCTCGGCCGAGACGGAGGCCTTGCTGGCGGCGGCGGCGGGGGCGGCGTGAGGTTCTCGGTCAGGTAGGCCACCAGGAGACAGATGAGCACCAGCATGACGCAGATGGAGCCCCCGACGGCCGTCATGGCGACGACGATGTCCCGCATGCCGGCCGGCTCGACGGTGAACTCCACGCACTCGGGGGGCCCGGGCGAGGGATCGGGGCCGCGGCTCTCGTTGGCGCCGGCCGAGAGGGCGCGCAAGCAGAGGCGGTAGCGGACGCTGCCGTGCGCGTCCGGCAGCAGGTAGTCCCGGCAGGAGGCGCCCAGCTGGACGGTGTCGCACTGGAAGCGCGTGTAGGCGCCTTCCCACGAGCAGGCGAGCGAGAAGCCGCGCAGGCCGGCCCCGGCCCCGGCGGGCGGCCAGCCCCACTGCAGGAGGACGCTGCCGTTGAGGAGCACGTTGGCCACCAGGGCGCGCCCCGGCGAGCGGTGCGCCTTGCAGCGCCGCGGCGCGCACTGGAAGCCCCGCGCCGGGGGGCGGAAGCAGAGGCGGCCGCCGCCGTCCCCTCGGCCCTGGCTCAGCACCTTGTACGGGCACCACGGCTCGGCGTCGGGGCCCACGGGAGCCGCCGCCATCGGCTCATAGCCCGGGCGGGGCGGGGG